TCTTACAGTTTGTGTCAAAATTGTCGCTTTTAGACTCACTGGGCTGAGGTTTCTTATTGTGCTGTGTACTATTTTGAGCTCTGATTGTGTACTATTTTTGATACTCTGCTCTGGCTGCTGTAAACACCAGCCCAAAGACCACAACACACTGCTTGAAATCTTCAATCTGATAAGAACTGGAGTCTTTATGTTAATGACTACAACTGCTACAGAACTGCCTCAGATGTCAGACCAGTTCTGCCAAGTTCTGGGTATAAGCACTCCCATGTGATGATGAGGTGTTTTGATACTCCATATGTTTTTCCTCTCTATCTTCTAATGTGGGTTTTGTAAACAAAGCCCTACATGGAGCCCACGATCTGTAACTAGCTTTTACCTTTGACCTATTTACAGAGCCCAGTTTCCTCTGAAAAGTTCATGGACATCCAAAATACACGTGGCATCGGGCTCATGCACATACAGGCTCATGTTTGAGATTTTGCAGGCTTACACAGAGGGATGTCTGCTTGGAGCTACAGAAAAGCTTATTTCTACTGTCAGAAGTTCAGCTGTCATACTGGCAGAGGCAGCGTCACCTTAAGCGTCCAGAAATGTCTGACCTTGAAACAAATGAATGCTGTAATGAAATAAGGGTTATCGTCATCCAAATAAAGTGTCCTTCTCCTTGCCGAATCTACTTCTCCAAGCCTCCTTGTTATCTGCTGTCAACCCCCAACATGTGTCCTCAGTCTGACAGTAGATAAAGTGGAGGGCTTAGTTAACCTATAAGTGGATGAAACCTGAGCTTGCAAATGGCCACTGGCTGATAGATGCAAATAAAAGGAGGTGTTGAAGATAATCTAGCACAGCGCAGACAATCTAATGCCTGTAAAAGAAGTTGTTGCTAGTATTGCTGAGAGCTGTGTAGTTGCAGCTACCACTGCTGTGACTTATTTCAAGCTCTGTTGGTTTGGGATATGGGTTATTACTCACTCACTTAAGCCAAATATTGATGATGCTGACTGTTTAAGCCTTGAGATTGAATGGGAAAAAGCACTGGAGAAGTTAAACAAGCTGCAGTTTGAGATGTGAAAGCTAGCAGGCAGACAGCCGTCTTTGTATAGAAAATTAAAACAGGTGATAGGTGACTCATTTAAGCATTAATGTATTGTTAAGTATAAAATAGACCTATACCTACAACCTTATTAGCCAGTAGTTCCTCATCAGTTGCTGTCTTCTCAAGCACATCAACTGAAGGCTGGCAAAACAGAGTCTCTCATGATCGTGCAAATCTCAAGTGAATTCAGCCTCCTCACAGAGTAAATGCACCACTGCACTGATGGGATGTACTCAAAGAAGAATGACCACAGCAGCTTAACACAGCATACTCCAGCCCCACCATGACCTTGATGAGGATAAGCGGAAGGGAAATGAGTGGATAGGTGTCTTATTATTACTGACCTCCTTGTTTAGTAGGGGTGCAATGATACAGAAAATTCACGGTTCAGTCCGGTTCGATACTTTGGTGTCACGGTTCGATATTTTTTCGATACAAAAAAAATGTTCATGCCTTTTTAATTTGTCATTTATTAAATTTTCACGGCACATTCCGCACCACATCTCTGTGCGTTCATCATTTGTTTGAAGCCAGCTCACCTCCTGCAACTACTTTTCCGAGAATACGTGCTTCTTTTGTGGTTCGGACTCCTGACATTTCTTTGGAGGTGGAGGAACATCACAGTAATTGCTTAAAGGAGCTTCTTCGACATCTTTAAGAGTTCTAAACAAATGTCTGTCCTCCTCCTGAAAATCTTATGTACGCAAGCACGCGTTGCAACTTCTTATCTTGTGCCTGTTTTTTATTTTGACAGCGAATGCGCACCTGCGGACCACTTATGTGCAGCCCTGGTTATTTAGCTCGTCATATTGCAGCCACAGAAATTATTTTGTCCATGAAACCATAAAGCTGCACTTTCTTTTTTGTCATAACTTTTCCGTTTTGTGGTAAGCTTTTCTTTGGCTGTCACTTCTTCACCCTGACCTGTCTTATTTGGCTCAGCAGAACTAAAATATATATCCTGCTGCTTTTACACACACACTCACATAACGCTCAGCGATTCTCTGCGCGATCAACCTCTCACATGTTTAAGCTTGATGCGGGAGATTTCACTTGTCATGTTTGCATAGTAAGCTAACGATTGATAAGACGACGTCAGAGGAATTGGTGCGCAAATTATCGTCACTCACCAATCAGTGCTGTCGCTCTCTATACACAGTTCGCGCGATTGCAAAGTGAAAGCAAAAAACAAGCGCAAATTCAAACGCGATTTCAATATGTCACATATTGACAGTGGCTCACCGATGCCAATGACATACTTACCCAGCTACATTTCTGAAAGAATGCAAAAGCATTGACATATATTTTTCCTTCCTACGATAGGCCGACGGGCAGGGCAGAGATAGATTTTGGTAGCCCGACTGGAAAAATCGCTAGCCCCGGGACGTCGGGCTAGCGATTTTGCGAGCCCTGTATCTGATTGAGGAATCACTCATCTTTGGAAAAGAGAGTTTATTACAGAGAAGTGGCTCTTTCCAAAATAAAAGCTATACTATACGCTTCTTCTGGGCTATATTCTCAGCAGCATATTAAACATATCAGGTCCCCATAAGGAGAATCATGTGCTAACGGCTGTCTAAATGACTCTGCTAAAGTTTGTAGCATGCGTGCTTGTTGTTTTTGTCTGCTTCCACTTGTCTTTGCACTAGGATGATGTCGGAGTAAATGTGCAGTCATATTCGTTGTGTTCCCACTAGAGCTGTCAGCGTAAATCTCGTTGAAATGACATTAACGCCACAACACGGCAAATCTCCGTTAACGAGCTACCCCTGATCGCCCCGTGCATGTGGCTGGACGGCCAACACGTTAACGAGCTAACTGCGCTAACACGCTAGCGCCCACCCATGTAATTGAGCATTGCGTGGCACATCCAACATACTGTTTTACTTTAGTCCATGACGCGCTTACCTTCAGGGTCATACGTCACATGAAAACCAAAATAGTTCCAAACGCCAGATCTGAATGAGGGTGGGGGAGGTTCAATTTGCCATGTTGCAAGGAGAGCTTAACTTCTGTCTTGCTAGCTTGCCCTGCGCTCAGTGAATCTGCGTTCGACTACTCCAACACAGACAGCCTCGTCAGAAGAAAATTAATTTAAAATTTTGTATTGTTCGATACATATGCGTACCGAACCGAAAGCACTGTATCGAACGGTTCAATGTCGATACGAGTATCGTTGCACCCCTATTGTTTAGCTTTATGTACAGAAAGGTGGTGTCCCTAGTGAAGGATCTGTCAACCAGGCCGAGCAGCTGCATCCAAACCTTACCTCACCAAGTACAAGAAGGAAGAAGGAACTTCAGCACACCAAGACATTTTGGACAATTTCACGCTTCCAACTTTGTGGGCACAATTTGGGGATGGCCCCTTCCTGTTCCAACATGATTGTGGACCACTGCACAAAGCAAGGTCCATAAAGACATTAATGAGCGAGATAGGAGGAATTTGACTATTCTGTACCAGACAGAACCCCTTTGGGAGGAATTAGTCTGGAGACTCTGGGCCAGGCCTTCTCACCCAATGTCAGCGTCTGACCTCATAGATGTGCTTCTGAAGAATGGTCAAAAATTCCCATAAACGCCTAAACGTTGTGGAAAGCCTTCCCAGAAGAATTAAAGCTGTTATAGCTGCAAAAGGTGGACCAACATTATATTGAACACTATGGATTAAGAGTGGGATGTCACTCAAGTTCATATGCGTGTGAAGGCAGACAAGTGAGTACTTTTGGCAATCTAGTGTTGCTAGTCTCAAACTGTAATCCTTATTTTCCACTTTTGATGCTACCGTTCTGACCCAAATCAGTCCATGACATTCTTCTTCCGCCACACCACCCTGCCCTCACTCTCTTCTTCACATCTTTTAGGCTTTGTCCATTTCACTGCACAGTGAAAGACAAGCACTTAAACTCTTGCCTTCACCACCTCTGCTCCTTGCATTGTAACCCTTCCACCGTCCTCTCTCTCTCTCATTCACAAACGTATTCTTCCTCGGATCTGCTGAATTTCATTGCTCCAGTCTTCTTTCCAAAGCGTACCTCTGCCTCTCCAGCTTCCCCTCAACCTGCTCTTTCAGTACAAACCATGTGCTCTTCAGATATAGTCCACAGAGAGTCTGAGCTCGTCCATCAACGTGTCCATTGCTGTTGCCAAGAGGGGAGCCCAGGCTGTCAAATGTGCGCCATTTCCCATGTAAGATATGACCCCAAGCAACACTAACAGTGTACAGCCTTGGAAACAGCTCAGTGTGATTTGATTTAGATGCAGAATGCTTATCTGTCCCCTTTTTCCGTGCTTACCTGTCAATAAGGTTTAAGGTAATATTTGCCATGCTAACTCTTGCATGCTGTTTAACAGAGCTTCTACTTTGCTAGAGACCCTTCCCTATTGCACAGGTGGTCAAATATGAACTTTCAAGCTCATTAGAACTGCACAAACTCTATTTTTGCCTTCATATACTTTATTTCATGCATGTTTGCAAGTTTCAATAAACACTTCACTTATTTCCCATTTTCCAAACAAAATATAGAGAGATAGGAGGAGGCTCCAGGCTTTTGCACAACACTGTATGTTGCTTAAAAAAAACAAACAACAAAAAAACTTCATGGTGACTCCATTTTTCATATGCAGTTTCCACCATATGTAATTTTTTTTCTGGGGCTGCCACTGGCTCATACATTGAAGTCCTCCTTCTGCTCGGAGGGTTACAGCCAGGTCTTGAACACACTGCAAAAATAGTCCACTTTTACAGACATGTCGAGCCAATAAAGTAAAAAAGGGGTATTTTTTGCAGTGTGTTCTAGTGAACAGGGCGGGGAGAGAGAAGGAGGAGGAGGCTGTCCTTCGCTGGCGTGTGTCTGCGTGCATGTGAGAGAGAGCGAGAGGAGTCAGCTGGTCGAAAAGTGCGGAGTGAGCGGTGCATGCATGCGTGTGTTTGCATGTGTGCGAGCGCGGGTGAGCGAGCGTTACTTGTGTGAGCGTTGTACGTGTGCAAGGAAAGCACCTCGGGGTGGGGTGGGGAGGGGGGAACAAGGTGAAGACAACAGAGTGGAGCCTGGGGGGGTGGAGGTAAGGGGGGGAAAGCAGTTTGTGCGGACATCCAGACGAGGATAGCCGGAGCGCACCGGGTGCTTCTCCGTCCTGGACACGATTTTGCCTTTTCATTACCGTAAGCGCTTTGCATACTTGTTTGGGAACTAATATCTCTCATCAGGACTGCATATCGTTAAACTCAGTATCAGCCGGTCTATACATACTTACTGGTCATGCGCCGGGACGCAAAGGAGCTTTAGAGATGATGTAAACTCAATTTATGAGCTACCTTGTTGGTAGAAAAAAGGTATTTAATGACAGTTATTGCTGTGCTGTGAGAGGCAAAGTCATTATGTAACTCTTTAAATTTGCCACACTACTCTAAGTGATCAGATTCTTCGCTTTTATGGAGATGACTGTAAAGTTGTCATATATTTATTTTTTAATATTAGAAACACGCGTTGGCTGTAGTGGTGATAGTGAAGGAGGGGATTCAATCTTTCAGCTCATAGCTGTCATATCACCTCATAACACAGTCAGACTCAGATGCTCCATCAGTGCCTAAAGCTATTGTACCTCCTCCCTCTTCCACTAATTCCGATTTTGAACTGGGACAAGAGTTATCTGAAGCATCAGCATGGTAGGGAACTGCTTCCCCAGAGAGCATAAGCTAGGTGTGTGTGTGTGTGTGTGTGTGTGTGTGTGTGTGTGTGTGTGTGTGTGTGTGTGTGTGTGTGTGTTAATGGGCTGTCATAAAGCTCCAAGCTGTGCCTTAATGTAGGTTTAATCTTTGTATGCTGTTAAACTTCCTTCCTTCTTATCTTATGCACAAAGTAGACTTCATGTCTGTTTGGGTCTCAGGTAATATTAAGGAGTTTTGTGAGTGTGTGCTCTTCATAAGACAACAGACCGTGAGTGTAGCTAAAAATCTGAATCCTTATGCACTTGGAAAGATGTGGTAGTAGTAGTGGGTGTGTTAAACACACTCACACACGTGTGACATTATTAAGTTGCTCCCTGCCCTGTTTAATTTCTCCAGATCTCCCCATATGACCAGCGAAGCTGAATTGTTCCCTCTCTCCACAGGAGGAATCACAAATGTCAGGAAATGTCAAGCACACAGAGCTCTGTCTTTGGCACTTTCAGGCTTATTAATTTGCACGTACGACGGCGGCACTTGCCCTTTTGGCCAGGACTTTGGTTGCTGCGAACAGCCTGTGCAATAACATGTAATATATTAAGAAAAAAAAGTGTGCAGTTATCAGGAACGCAGAGGCTGCACTGCAACGTATGCCTCTGACAGAAGAGCAAACCTAAAGATAGCAGAGCCCCAGTGGAAACAGTAATTAGTGGGGTGAAGAGAGAGGGAGGAGAGGAGAGAGGAGGAGAGAGGAGGAGGAGGATATTGTTTGAACCATCTGATATCTGTTATATAATGACCTGTACAATGGAGACATGCTGGGAGAGAAAGTGAAGAGGAATCGTCAAAGAGTGAGAGGAGCTATTTAGTGAGAGAGAGAGAGGCAGCTCTGTGTGTGTTTTCAGCAGATTGGGTTTGCTGAACCTTTGTTGGAAGCAGTATCAGTTGCAGCAGTTCCCTAAAAAATGTGTATGTGGGCTGCATAACATCATTTCTCTCTTTGAGGAAGCTTATTATTTTTCCTCGAGCTCACAGATGAATCCAGTCTGTGAGCTGGGTATCTCTAATATGTTATTGCAGCTCTCCGTGAAATTGGACAGGCAGATAGGAGTTAAGATAAGATAAGATAACCTTTATTAGTCCCACACGGATAAAGAGGATCAGCGATTAGATTTCAACAGTGATCTGGGACTTCCACCAGCAGGCGAGCTAAGACGATGAAACAAGTTTAAGACAGAAATCTGATTCCAAAGTGACATTACACGGGGCTTATAATGAGCCTGTTTATCTTCATATGAATGTGACTGCAAGGAGTTTTTGGTATGTAAATGCAAGTAAGAGTTTTTTTTCTTTCTAAATGCTGCAGACAAATAAACAGAAGACTAAGTGCTGAACAGCTTGAGATGGATTTTTGTGTGTGTGTATGTCTGTGCTTGCGAGTCCTCTTTCCAAACACACACATGCGCGCAACTTCCTGCTGCTTACTCACAGCAGATAATGCAGTGGAAATAGACGACTCCTAGACGACACACACACACACACAGGTGGTGGAGAGTGGTCATGTGTTGCTCACTCGGAGAGGAGAAATTCTTATTTAGTTCTAAGCCACTGGCTTTGTGAAGGAACTGTGTGTGTATTGTATACAATGACTGTGTTTACACTGTGTGTGCACATGTTCAACCGTGCATGCACACCAAGTCGCACAGACAAGCTTTGCTGTTTAGGTGAGAAGGAGGTGCAGGACTTTTGTCTTTAGAAAATTGATACCAGTTGTGCAAAGTTGTTGTGTAATGTATAGCACAAAATCCCAGATCCACCTTTAGTAGTTAGTGAAATTTGTTAATTAAAACTTCATTTTAACCCTGTGTTTTTTTTTCTTACTGACTTTTCTCTGTGATTTTAGTGCTGTTCTTCATTCAGTCGGTTTCTTTTTTGTGCAGAGTGCTGGTGAGACCAGAGGGTTATTCCCTGCAGAGGGAACGCTGAAGGAACATCATGGCATTAGCGGGATGCCCTGACTACTTCTTACGTCATTCGAACTACCAGGTAAACATTTAATGTTCCAGCTGTATGTGGGTTTGTTGGTAGAACGGGAATAAAAGTAATGTTAAACTGGAGTTAGTTTTCACGTAACAGTTAATCAACTTTAAGACTAAGTGACACTTGCTGGTTGATGAAGAATTCTTAATTTTTGTGTAATTTTAGACAAATTTTGGTATAATCTTGGACCGAACAAAAATTATTTTATTTTACTTTTATGAGTTTGCCTGTTTGACATGGTGCACATTTACCATCATGCTTTTAGAAGATGGTGCTGTCCTGTGTGCATGCTAACACTAAAGGCCTCGGTATACCAGTTACGTTGGTTGTTTCATGCAGTGTGCACTAGGGGACATTGCTTACCTAGCGCACTGGTTGGTAGCTAACGTTGGTTGGTAGCTAATGTTGGTTGGTAGCTAATGTTGGTTGGTCGCTTTGTCCACTAGGCAACATCACCTAACAGTCACTTATATTTATTCCTGTTTTTAAGGCCTTGGTCGCTGCTGCGATACAATAAGTGTCGCCACTAAGACAATACTGCCACATCAGCGCTGTTATAGGAGGAGAAGTCAAAGCCGGGAAAAAAACCCCATTGCCAAGTGGGGTTTTTTCACCAAGTATTTCCCATGTCTCATGTTTTCAAATTGTTGTAATAGCGCCCTCTGTATAATCTTTGACTATTAAAATGGCCGTAAAAACCAACATGATCATGCACTGGTGTCTTCAGCCCAGCTGCAGCAGCACAAAGTTTGCAGTTGGCTAACTGCTGTGCTAGAAATAAGTTGGAGACTAAAATGTTATCAAAACGGATACAAATAATAGAAAAGATTGATATTCTCCGAGTAGTAAATAAAAAATATGACATTGTTATTTTATAAGAGACTAGCAAACAGTTGCCTATTCATATATAACAGATAGTTAAATTATCATTTGTTTGAAATTTGTGTTGCTGCTCCAAGAATAATTGCAGTTGTTCAGTTCTCCGACTTCCTAGTAAGCTAGCCACCTTTGAATGCACTCTGGTGCTGAGTGCTTAGCAGTAACGATGAGCAGAGCTTTTTTTGTGGAAACCAGCTGCTGTACTGAATATGTCAACTGGGTAACCAAGATAAACATTAACAGATGAAACCACCGAAATATTGATTATGAGGCAAGACCAAGGTTAAAGTTTAGCAGTGGGCTAAAGTTTGCTTGCCTCAAAGTGAGCGAATCCCAGCTTAGTTTGGTGAAATATGGCATTGGTGCAACACGACAGACCTGGTTCCACTGTCCAACTCCTGCAGAATGAGCCCTTTGTTTCTCAGCTTGGATTTTCTCCTTTCCAACCCTCCAGTAACCTAAAGAATTTGGCTAAAGAGCTTCATGGAGGTCTATAAATAGAGTGCTAAGCAAACAACAATAACAAGTTTGGGCTTTGTTGTGTGACAGGCCTAAAAGCACTGGATTGATGGTATGATGTCTTGCTGGGACCCATGGAATGATGGAGGTGATGTAGTCTCCGCTGTCTTTTTTTTCTCTTAGTGGAGGGACAAAAATCCTGCTCACCCAAACTGTGGGACTGCTGAGCCCCTGCTGAGCTGACATTAAGTTGGACTGGTTCACGTTAGCTTCCAGGAAAGAGTTTTGCCCCAGTAAGGCTGCAGTGAATAGTGAATTGAATCCCCATCGAAAAACAACATTCCTCCACCCTGCATGTAGCAGAGAAAAACCAAAGTTTGATAGTTTGATGGAGAGAAGTGGGTTACAACATTGCTCTGTTTGTGTTGGTCTGTGTGTATGTTGCTCATGTAAAGCTTGCCAGTTGTCATGAAACAGCATGGCACACATGGAGTCTGCGCGGCAATGACTTTATGCTCAGTGTTTAGAGATAAGGAGCAAATAAGCCCCTTTTCTTTGTACTTACATAACACTATACATAATGGTGGTCATGTTTGGGAATTTGGGCAGCAAAGTCTTATGTGTGTTCCTGTGTCTCGCACTCTTACTGAGAGCGTTGGACCTGTGCCAGGGAGGTCTCAGATTAAACGGGCGGCGACCCTTGCTTTCCCTTTTTTTCTTATGGATGTATTTGTAAATGTGCACACACATGCTCTCCACAGACCAAGAGACCACTGTCCACAGTCTCAAAGCTCTGATGAGTTATGACTTTAACTGCTAAGAGCGGAAAGAATGAAGCGTTTAACCTCTGCTCCTCTCCTTCAGCGTCAGCATTGATACCATTTGTTCCTAAACATGTCTGTTCTGCCTGACAGTTTGTGTCTCTATATTCTCAGACGTCAGGTAAGTGGTTATGTGCGAGCATGGTGACGGGCACGCTCAGTTGTGTTTGTGCTTTCGAGGAAGCGCAGCCTTTAAAGCACTTTGTTGAAGTGCCTTGATGTCAGTGCTTTGGGCAATGGAGTGAAAGGGGAGCTCGCTATTTATGAAGGCGATGTCAAGAGAAGTTACAGGATGTCTGTCCAAAAGCAACCCCAGTATGTCAAGCTGATGGAAACTGTAGAGCCACAGCATTCGTTCAGTGAGATATAGCTTTAATGCTCCAAAACCCAGGACAAGAAATCACTCAAATCTTGGAAAACTGCTCTTCAATATTTAATGCTAGTTTCTGGCCCAGAGACATTCTGGAAATCAGCGTAATGCGACAGCGAGACGGAGAATCAAAGCATCGTTTTGAGAAAAAGAATGTGCAGCCAACACCGCTACCTCCAACGTAGCAAATCTTTCAAAGATGGTTTTAGCACAGATTTTTGTTAATGCATATAGAAGTATTTTGGCTAAGTCGGATGAGATTGTATGCTTTGTCAAAGATACAAAAGCTTCCCATCAGTAGACCGGAAGTATTTATAGTGGCACCATTAAGAAATTATAATTTTCCATTAAGAACTAAAGTCAACTTCTAGTCTTAGGCTCTGGATCCACACACAGAAATTGCAGGTATTGCCCCACAAAAAAACAAAAAGATGTGCTTCTACTGCACATAAAACAAAGATGAACATTGTCCACAGTGGCTTCAGTGTTTACTTCCATATTACACAGTGCTGTGTTGTTGTGGTTGCTTTGGGCAAGCCAGTCATTTTAGGGTCATGATGAGAGTTACAGTGCTGTGAATAAGCATCTGACGCCATTCATTTCTTTATATTTTGCTTCCAATGAGACAGATTTTCTTTTAATATGTTAAAAAGGTTTTGAGCAGTTCTCTAGGCTTTCAAAGTTTTCTTTGGACATTGGCTGCTTTTTCATTAATTTTCATTCCATTTCAGATTATTTTATATGTGTCATTCAAACATAAAAAGGTATCTCACTCAGACAACGTAGCAGCTGTTCACCAAAATCTCATCAGAAATGATCTTGGTGGCTATCAGTGGGGAGAAAAGTTATGTGTTAAACACGGTGGAGGCACAGTAATGAATTGGGGGCTGCATTTAGGTCAGCTGTGTTGAGGATGTTAGCCAACTTAGTGCAATTATAAACGCAGAAAGGTAATATGCAAAACCATCTGTCAGCAGCTTTATTTTTCAAAAAGACAATGATCCCAAACACACTGCTAATGTAGTAAAAGCATACCGGGATAGAAAAACACACACACAGAGGACCAGTATCAGTCATGGACTAGCCCAAATCTCAACATTACTGAAGCAGTGTCGGCTCATCTGGACAGAAAACAGAACAAAAGGCAGGCAAGATCTAAAGGAAAGATTTAAATGTCCTTCATGAAGAACTATTCCTGAAGACTAGTTAAAGAAGACAAGAAAGCTTCCCTAAGAGGGTTCAGACTGTGTTGAAGAAGGAAAGCAGTTACACCAAGACTTTTGCACAGTACTGTATTAATAACCTTTGGTCCTCCGTGCCCCCTGATCAGACTTATGCTTGCCCATAAATGCAAAGCCACAATGCTAAAAAGGCTCTGTAACTGTAATAAACTTCTATGGAAAAATACTAAGATGAACATTCAAAGTAATTCAGTGTAAATGAGATTTGTTAAACGATGCTGTGTGTTGTGAAACAGAAAACACACGACTGCAGGAATGACTCACAAGCCGTAAAACTACAAGAAGAAAGCCTCCCTTCATGTACTGTGCCACTCAGTATGCCCTTAAGACTAGTTATATGAAGAATGCTGTTTTGTTTGCTATAACTATTGTGCAAAACAGTCCACATCTGGTAAATGATTTTAGCGGGAAATCAGTGCCTCTTTCTAAGAAACAGGTTCATGTCTTTCAAAATTGGCTTTTTCTACTCATATAACCACCCAGGTGACGGCTGATGTAGCATCACTACTCGATTTAGAGTTCCAGGTGAGTTTTTTATGGGGAATGTGGCCATTAAAGCTGACCCTTTTACTGCAAGAGCGCTGCAAAGGAAAGGGTAATTTTCCCTACGTTTGCTTGTAGCTATATGTTAACACTGCTGCTACTGATAGCTCTTTAAAGACCTGGAACATCGTCCTGCCTCCAATTCCAAACAGTGTATACCCTTGTGCCTGGGAAAGCCCAGACTCTGAACAGTGCCAAGAGAAGATTGATTAGTATGATTGCAGTGAGTAAATCACTTGATCACTTGATATCATCAGATTAAAAACATTCACTTATAAATTCTCTGCGTACTTTTTCCAGCTTTTCATTTTAGCTTTAGGTATCAGGTTTTGCTGTTTATGGAGATATTCTGTCTTTATAGGTGTGGTGATAAAGTTTTTCCATCTGACTTAAAGGAGTAGCATCGCTGATTTGCTTTTGTGTTCAGGGTTTGGTGTGAAAATTAAGATTAGGTCCATTAAAAGGGGTTACAGCTAGCACTTAGCTTAGCACAAACACTGAGCACTGGATTAAAGAGGTGGTCTGGCTGAAAACTTACCTACCGGTGTATTTAAAGGATATTAAATAATATTTTCATAATGTTTTCTTAAGATATATATAAAAATTGAGGTGGATATCCACATAATCATGGAAGGTTTTACTCTCGTTGTGCTAACGTAGCCTAGCTTACCACTAGACTATTTGTTTTGGAAGGTTTTAAAGAAAGAGCCACAAGTAGATCTGCTAGTAGTTAAGATGCAAATAAAAGGTCATCTCAGTTAATTTGGTAAAAATCTCACTTTCTGTAGATTTGGAGTAATGCCTGGTGTTGTGCAGTATGTATGTATTTGATATATATGTGTGTATATATTTATGGGTGTTTAGCAGCTTGTAAGTTATTGTGCCTCAGTCTTAGCTATAGCCTGGCCTGCAGACTTTCTCTTTCAGCCCATAGGCCCTGCAGCCAAGTTGCCTTCCTTGGAAAGCTTTTGGCTGATGCTGCTTCTCAGAGCTATAAATCTTACTCTGGGCATTTATGGATGTTTTCGAAGCACCGAGGGGAGCTGCGAGTGTGTGTGTATGTGCATGCATGTGGACTGAGACCTCTGGCCACGAGCAGTTCCTGGAAGCAACGCTTCCGCGTTCTTCTTTTTCCTGGAAAAGAGAAGATTGAAAATTTCATTGGCTTTTTTCCCTCTCTTTCTCCTCTGGAGCTTTCTTGCCTTGAGGCTGCTTCAAATTAGATAATGTGTGAAGAACTTGGCAGGATGTGTGCGTGTATCTTCAGACGTGTGAAATTGTATAAGTGGGCTGGGACTGGTGGGTTTTTTTGGGTGGATTTTTTTTTTCTAAAAATTATTGAATTGATTGATAATCTTTTTTTTCATGAAATACATCAAGGTTTAGTTAATTAGTGAGTTTCACAAGTTTAAAATAAAGCTCAGTATACCTGATACAGGGAGAGAGTGTGCATAAAGGAAAGGTCAGAGGGGTCAGAAAGCCAAAGTGACAAAGTGTCACCGGGCTCTGAATGCCTGACTTGGCATTCCTCGACAGCCGAGGCCTGAACCCACCCTTTGCCCGACCATTTGAACTCTGTGAAAATGACACGCTGTCTTCCCGTTTTACTAAAATATCTGACATCTTAAACACATTGCATGAGGCTTTTTTTAACCACGTGCTCAAAATTGTTCTTTTTTTAAATGTTTTTTTATGTCCTTTACTTTTTTTTTGGGACAGGAAAGGATGGACCGCACTTCCACTCGCAGGCCTGACGAGCTTATTGTTCCTGGCTTTCAGCGCTCAGCCAGTCAGAATTTGCCACATCACCATGGTAACTCTTCTCTCTTCTCCTTCTTGAACCTATGTTGGATTTATTAAAAAAAAATTGGAACATTTAGGTTGGATTATAATAACTGGTTATTACCATTGGTCTTTTCTGGTATGTCCTGAGTGATTAATGAAATCCTTCCATCTAGGGCTGAACGATTATGGAAAATAATCTAATTGCGATTTTTTGCCCCAATATTGCGATTGCGATGCGATATGCGATTATTTTTTAAGGTCTTTGTCTTCTGTATTATTAAACAAAGACAAGCAATACATCATATAGTATGGCCAATACTATATTACATTAATTTTAAACTGTTCTTTCCTGGAAGACAGACCTCTGTTATGATGACATGAGGTGATGCATGAATTGATGACTGACATTTTTATTTAACTTCTTCAATCACAACAGTATATTTTAACATACACAATAGTTTATTTTTAGCTTACAAACATCTGAGCATAAAGTGCTGACAAGGAACCCTGGTGTAAACATTAAAATGAAAGTCAGTACAATGTGCAGATTGCAGAAATATACATAAAAAAAATCAGTGGCTTTACCACACTCAGTTTTTCGACATCTGTGAACTACTAGACAGTCATTCAATTAAAAAATAATATTAAATAAATAAAACTAATAAATAAAAAATACACACATCTTACTGATCTCTGCAGTCAGTAACATTACACATAAAGTGCAAACATAATAGCAATTGTATAAACACAAACACGCCTTTAAAGTTTAAAGGCGTGAAATTGGACGGTCTAGCCTTCTGATTAGCTAATCAGAACTAGCCTTCTGATTAGCTAATCAGAAGGCTAGTTCTGATTAGCGTCACCGCTGTCTCGGTGGAGTTTAATAAACTCGGCCGTCTGCTTCTTGCTATCTAAAATATAACCAGACACTGGTGTAAATTCTCGACTGTCTCATACTTCTGTTTAATAAGTTTTCTGTTTGACGTTTAGTCAGCTGTGTGAAAACCAAGGAGGAACCCACCCGGGGGATTAATAAAGTTTTATTTTATCTAATCTAATAACTTTAATCTCAGCCAAACCGATTTACTCACGAACAAACAAAACACTGAAAAAAGCCCAACAATAACATTTTTAGGTTGTCTAAGTGACTTATATATTACGTTTAACCCGAGCAGCGAAACTCCGCGGTGATCTGAAAATGATGTGCCGGGAGTTGTGCCGTTCTCGGCCGCATCAGTAACCCTCGAGCTCCCGGCTAGCTGTCGAGCTGGTGGGTAGCAGACGCCTCTGAAAACGTCGAAGCACTTTTGCAAATATGCGATATCTTGATAAACCGAGCAGATATTTGATGTTTACACAACTACTTTCTCGCCTGAAAATATGTTAAAAGTTTATTTTGTGACCCAGAAAGATTAGTATGAGTAATTTTAAAACTTAGTAGCGGCCGCCATTGCTGGAAACTGGAGTTTGGCTGGGCCGCGCTATGAATTCTGGGATATGGTAGTAATTTGGACAGCCTTCGGCACGTCGCTGTGACGTAATCGGTCTACAAATGCGGCCTCAGGAGGATGCAGCCCATGAATTTGGACATGTCCAGAGTATAATCGCAGCCTTTGCGGTTAGAAAATTGCACTTGATCATGTCGCGATATTATCGCAAATGCGATATATCGTTCAGCCCTACTTCCATCTATATTTCTTTTGTCATTTCCTTTCTTCATACCTTTCTTTATGGGATCAAAACCAATTTATCGGCCTCTTAACACTCTTCCTGTCTTCCTAGAAATCCCCCCCTCCTGCTCTATCTCCATCTCCATCTAGGACACTGTCTCCCTCCATCACTACATGCTATGCTCTCCAGATGGAGAGATTATTGACAAATTTTAAACTCTCCCCTCCCTCTACCGCTGCTCGGCACTATTTTGAACTCTTCCCTTCCCCACAGTGCCTCAGTATTAAATCTGCCCCCATTATATTTCCAGAATTTCATTCACACTTCCAGGAAAATCTTGGGAATTCTTGGCTAGTGGTTATCCTGTGGATTAGCTTTTTTTTTTCTTTTGGTTTGGTGATTTATTGGACTGGCTTCACTTCTGCTGCTTGTTGGTCATGCTCGTGTATTGTAAACATGGTTTCACAATAAGTGAATGGGTGCTTACATAGGTCTATAGGTCAAACAGTTCAGGGCAGAAGGGAGTTCATAGAAAGTAAGCCATAGGTCTGTGGGTCAGGGTTGTAGATAGTAGGAGGTCAGCAGGTTCATACTCTATTCAGGCAGTGACGCCACTGGAGTGATCAGCCGTTTGCCACTATCACACACTAGACAGTAAAACAGCACTTCCAGAATCTTTTCTTGTTGTTAGTGATAGCTTGTAAAGTGTAACTGCTACAACTAAATATGGGGTCAAGATCATGCAAATGTAAATGCATTGGCACAATAGACGCAAGAATCTCTCAGTCTGTGCACAACTTTTTATAGTAACTCAACAAACCAACAAGGAACAAGTCTCCACAAGGAACCATTGAAATGATGCTTCTAGTTTCTGGAGCTTTTCTCTGTTTTGTTTTTTAAGTTAAACATTTACCAAGTTGAATTCTCAAGTACAACAATAAAAATAAAGCAAAACTAGCCTGCAAAAATTTATGGACATGGCCAATAATCAGTATATGCATCCATTTCTCAAACCCAGCTGATAACATGCAGATAAATAGTCAGCCCCTCAGTTATGTAATATATGATCATATATTTTGTACACAAAATAATAGACTGTTCAAACAAATTGGTTTGTTTACACAGGGTGAACCTGTTCTAAACAGTGAAAAGTACACAGTGCCTATTCTGGTATTCTATGGCAAATCAATCAAGCTCCTCGGTGCTGGGCAGTGAGCACAGGGTCCACTAGGATTCTCAGGTCACCCTCATGAAGTCAGTTTCTGGTTGTTTGGTCAGAGACAGTCACACCAGTGAGGTCATTCTGTAGCTCTCGCAGTGCTTATCCTGTTCCTCCTTCCAAAAAGAAACAGATAGCAGTCCTCCTGATAGTTTAAGGGCCTTTGACGGCCCTGTCCACTTCTCCCAGAGTAACTGCTTGTCTCCTGGAATCTCCTCCATGCTCTTGAGACTGTACTCGGAGATACAGCAAACTTCTGGCAATGGTACGTGTTGATGTGCCATTTTGGACAAGCTGGGCTACCTGTGCATCCTCTCTACGCTCCACGTATCGCCTCATGCTACCAGTAATGACGCTGACCGTAGCTAAATACAAAACTACTGAAAACCAGCCAGAAAAGATGTGGAGGGAAAAAATGTCAGTGGCCTCCACCTGTAAAACTATTCCTGATTTAAAACCACTGAAACTGATTAACGACTCCCTCTGCCACTTGACTGACCGAATCAGTGTCCCAGAAGTTTAACTAATTTGATGCTATACATATAAAAATGTTTCTTTGTATTTTCAGCAGTGTACTTACCTCTCTTGATATCTGTCTATATAATTCACAGGGCTCTATGTAGTACTAGAAAAACTAAGTACATGATTTAGAAGCTTGCAGAAGCACCTTTAGTAGTAATAACTTAATAATCATTTTCCGTAAGACTTGCTAGAGACTATCAGTCTCTTACATTATCATTCCAACTTTGCATCAATTCACTGAGGTTTGCAGGCATTCGTTTGTGCACAGTTCTCTTGAGGTCCCACCACTATTCTGCTGTAGGTTCCAGTTTCCAGCCAGCTTTAGCTGACAGTCAGATAGCCTCACATTTGTCACTAGAATACTTTGGTATAAAGAGGATGTGTCCAGGTCTGTAGGTGCCAAACAAACCCAAATCATCACACTTCCACTACCGTGCTTGACAGTTTGGTATGAGGTATTTGTGCTGTATGCTCTCTATCCGGTGTTATTCCAAATATGGTTCTAGAAGTTGTGGTTTGTTCAGATGAAAGCATGCAAACGCAAGCTGTGCTGCCATGTTCTCTTTAGAGAGAAGAGGTTTTCTCCTGGAATCCCTTCCAAATAAATTATACTTGTTTAGTCTTCCTCTAATTGTACTTTAATCATAAAATTTAACATTTAACATGCCAAATGAAGTCTAGCACCAAATCACAACAACAGTCGCCTCAAGGCGTTTTATATTGTAAGGTAGAGCCTACAATAATACATACAGAGAAAAACCCAACAATCAATGAGCAACTATGAGCAAGCACTTTGGCGACAGTGGGAAGGAAAAACTCCCTTTTAACAGGAAGAAACCAGGCTCAGGGAGGGGCGGGGCCATCTGCTGTAAACCAGCTGAGGAGAGAGAAGGAAGACAGGATAAAGACATGCTGTGGAAGAGAGCCAGAGATTAATAACAAGTACGATTTAATGCAGAGAGGTCTGTTAACTGAAAAGGAAAAACTCAGTGCATCATGGGAGTCCCCCAGTAGCCTACGCCTATTGCAGCATAACTAAGGGAGGATTCAGGGTAGGGCTGCTCGATTATGGCAAAAATGATAATCACGATTATTTTCACTGAAATTGAGATCTCGATTATTTGACGATATTTATTTAACAATAACAATGTATTGAATAATGACTTTAAAGATTGTCAAAAAATAATATAAAATAGTGTGCAAATACTGATAACAGTGCAAATGTTTGCAATATAAAAAATAAATGAAAAATGTAAACATCTATGTTTAGTGAACTTTGCAGTGTTGCTCTGTGGTGCAGCTACGACACCGTAGCAAAGTTTACACACTATGTATATTTGATCCATGTCTGACTCCGCGAACCCATAATGTTTCCACACCACTGAAGTTTTTTTACCTCTCTTTTCAACCAACGGCAGTCACTCTCCTCTCCAAATAACTTCTGCTTAGCTTTCCGAGCTTCCCTCTTGTCCTCTTAATCAGCGGTCCCCAACCCCCAGGCCTCGGATCGGTACCGGTCCGTGAGTCGTTTGGTAATTCAGGGTCACCTGGTCCAGCCCTAACTATATGCTTTAGCAAAAAGGAAAGTTTTAAGCCTAATCTTAAAAGTAGCGATT